TGTTGTTATAATAAGTATTTGTCTTAGAGTAATAATATAAATAAAAAAATGAAATAACCTTAATCGCAAAATTCTACTTATGATTGCTTTTGACATTGTAAAAAGTATAAGTATTAATTTTTTCAAGTATAGCTATTTTATATGTTCATACAATACAAAATAAATAAATTTATATCTTAGTAAAACGTATGTTTCGCTGGGATATGAATTTTACGAAATAAGATTGATTTTACTAACATTTATTAAATACTTATTATTTTGTAATCGTTTGATTACAGCACTAATGTTCTTTTTTAGTTATATATCGCAATTATATACAAAAATATAGTGGTATTAAAATAAAAATAGTATCATAGGTATTGTAATAAAATGAGTAAACATCCGAATGACTTATTTTCAATACCAGTTTTTATTTAATTTAAATACGTCCATAACATTTCAAATATTTGTGGACAATTTTTAATATCGAATATTGAAGAAAAATTATCGAAGAAAAATAGTTTTTTGTCTTACACCTATTACTTTATTAGAGTCTTTTTACATTGATTGTTGTTAAATTATTTGCACAGTTCTAATATTTTTTAAAGAATTCATTTATTTGTACAATAATGCAACAGTTTAAAGGTAAGTAGATACTATTGTCACAAGAGCCAACAAATGCCAGTGTTGCAGAATAAATTGTGATCTTTCCTTAATCTTGATTTAAACAATTATAATTTTGAATCATTCGAAAGTTACTGGTATCGAGAGTATTGGTAATATAGGGTTTGTTGTTTCTACTTCCAGTGCTGTAGCCATACAATCACTTGCTGCTTCTACTTCACCTAAGGATTCCAACACCTTTTCCAAATAGTACCTGTCAAATATATAAATTTTGTAGTTAGACTACTTTTATAAATAAAAATAGAAATTTTAGTAGATTTTTTAATACCATGTTTGGTGAGAATTTGGATCGATTTTTGCAGCATCCCTTAATGTTTTTTCAGCTAACCTTTGACTTCCCAAGTAATGATAAATCAGACCCTGATAACATAAATAATTTCAAAATAATTGTATACCATTAAATACAGCAAGAATTATTATTTAATAAACTACAATAAACGTTACCAAATGTTGTAAACTTTTGACGTGTGATGGATTAATTGAAACTGCATTCTGATAACATTGCTTTGCTTCAATATATTCCAATTTATATTCATGAAGGAGACCTCGCTGAAATAAAAAATGACTTTCATGTATTATATTCCGATAACGAATTTATGTAAAATAAAACGTCTTTGATTGTTATTCAATAATATTACTTCAATTTACCATATACATGATATGATGGCTCAGTGGAAAAATATTTGTGGCTTCTTGTAAAGAAAGAACAGCACCATTTGGTTGGTCTAAAACTAAATACACTTCAGTAAGTAATAACCAGACCTGTAACTGTAATAGCCATGCTCTTTGTGGCCCAGGTTTTGGAGTGAAAGAACTAAGAGAAGATGCGACCTCAGATAAAGCTTGTTCCACTCTTGAAGCAGCTAATGATTGTGCGTGCAAAGAACCTGTTTAAAATATTGACATTCATAAAAATCAAATTAATTTTGAAAACTAGGAATTAAAAGAAAATATATAAAACACATACTAGAATCTTTATCAGACATTTCAGAAGTATACAGTTGAAAGACACTTCTAGTTTCGCTGCGTTTTTCACTGTGCTGTTCATTACAATTCGCATTGGTTTGGTCTTCATATAGATTTTTCCAAAGTAAAAGCATATGTCTTATAGTAAACAATGCTTGCTCACCACCGATACTTCGCAATTCGAGATGCGCTTTTACATAAAGAAAATTTAAATTATCCGGATATTCTTCTAATACACTGTTTATTAAATGCAACGCTTCTGAATATTGCTTATGAGCCGACAGTAATAGTACCAATAAATGCAATGATGGAATGTGTTCTGCCCGAAGATTCAGTGCAATTTTTACATGAATCATTGCGTCGTTAATTTGTCTGTTAATTGCATATTCGTGAGCTAAATAATATTCAGCCAAATGATCATTTGGATCACATTGTTGCGCCCTATTAATAAATATATATTATAATGTTTCATGTATTCCTCATTTCAAATTTAACTGTACATACTTTTGAAAACATTCTAAAGCTGTTTTAGTATGGTAAGTTTTATCCATTTTTACTATAGTGTTTGCAGCAAGAATACTGTGACCAATTCCAATATAGAGATGACATCTCGATTGCATTCCTTGTGAATTTGTTGTTTCTCTTTGAAGTGCGTTTTGACTCCACTCAATACCCTTTTTTATCTATTTTTTATTTAAACATATTTTTTAAAAGTATTTCATATAACATGTACATACATAATAAGAAATAATTCTCACCATATTTAATTGTTCATAGCATAATCTTGCGGCTAAAAGACAGGGCATTGCTTTTTGCGGCGATAACCTCGCTACCACTTTTAAAACCCTATATGCATGCATATATCTGCCCATACTAATTAAACATAATGCACATTGAGTCCACACATGTGCTTCTTCATGAGAGAATTTCATTGCTCTTTCAAATGACTGTTACAATATAAGATTAAATTAAGATGTGATCAAAAACGAAGATTGAGCAACATATTTAATTATATTAACCTCATATAACAAATCTACTTGACTCCATCTCACAACAACTTCTGTGAGAAGATCATATACTGCAGTGGCATTTTCGAAAGCATGTATTCTTGCATCTTTAAATTCCGGAGATTGACTAAGCACAGCATCTCTTACTGCCATAGCTTCACTTATTAGTAATAATAAGATCGTTTCTTCATATTCATTTCTTGGCACAAACATATTAGGGCCTAAATACTTCTTTGGCTTCCATGGTGAACCTGAAAAAATCACCATTTAAAATAATGATAATGTTCTATTTTCAATTTATCTTAAATTTATAACAATAACAATGTTTTATTAATAACACCTGTTGCTTCACTTGGTGCATCTGGAGCTTTGTATTCAGCACCACTAATTCCTCGAATTAATACTTCTGCCAATTGTCTTGTTAAAGTGACTCTAAGACTTTGAGTTGTTGTAGATTCCACAGCAGATAAAATTTCCCTTGTAAGTTATTTAATTTCATGAATAAAAATTTGTTATTTAAGTTCTTGAACATTTTTCTAAATTGTATTCATTATTTTTATCATAATCTTGCTATTACTTTCTTATTTATATTTTTGTTAATAAAAGTAATTGATTACCTGTAACGATTTATTGCACCTTGAATATTACCAATCTGAATGTATAATATGGGTGCCCTTTGTAGTGCAGTTTCCAAAATTGGCCCAATATGTTTTGTAGAACAAAAGGAAGACTGAGAAGAACATGTACCTGTTGATCAAATGATATTAACGTATTAACTACAAAACTCAAATTTCAAGTCTTGTCACATTCCACCAACAACCCTATAAAATCACCTGAAAAAATGTAAACAAACATAGTTAATATAATATTTGTATTCAACCTACTATAATACTGCTATTGCTGTCTTTTTTTCATTTACTGAATATTGTTACTATCAATTATAATATTATTCATTCATTCATTCATTATGAAACAGCAAGTACCAATTAGCATTGTTTAATGGAAAAGAATGTGTTGGAAATCAATTTACGTCACCTGTATTGTTACTATTTACGGTAGATGTGCCATTTTGATGTTGCATTGCAAGTTTGTCTTGTTCTTGTAAATACACCAATGTCAGGTCTCCAGCAATTTCGTAGCATTTGATGATCTGTTCTTGCCATTCTGCTATTTTATATTTCGATTTAGAATTTGGTGGCAATTTTTCCAGACAAAGACCTATCATAAATAAAAAAATGAATTAAAATGGAAATTATAATATTAAAAATTACTATTATTTTATACCGAAAAAATGTAACAGCAAGTTGAATTAGGCATGAATGTATTTTACATTAACAGAATTTATGATACATAGATATAACAAACATAGATTATCTACAGTACATACATTATATTTCCATTTTATACAACAAATTGCAGGCACAGCAAGTATAAATAATCAATTTGTTTTTGTATGCAAACAAACATATTCCAATGATATTAAGGATTTTAGAAACCGAACAATTGAATTAAATTGTACAAATTAATCCATGAAAGGGGTTCATTAAAATATTAGGTAATACAAAACCCTTCTGGCAATATGTACAAAATAGTTGATACAATATTTATAAATTGTTAGTGAAAGAGTACAATATAAAATTAGAATAGAATTGAATTTGAAAACATGTTGTAAGGTAATAAATAAAAGGGAAAAAGATCAGTTTTATCAAACAGTATGCATTCAGAGTGTAAGACTAAGTAAATAGGGAATTTAATTAGAGACACAGAAGTATAGTTACCATTAAAAGAACAATATCTTTCTGCTTTGTAGATAAACAGGTCCTCCCTCAATTTTTATAAAATAAAACTACTTAATTTAAATAATAAGAAATTGTTTTAAATCCTATATTTTATATTATGATAAAGAATAATTAGAATATTATAGAATATTGTTGTTTATTAAAAAATGTATTTTTTTCATATTTCAAATAATCAATTGTTGAAATAAATACAATTAAGCATGGATACAATAATTTTTAAATGCAATACACACTTCAAACACCTTCCAAAATCAATGGAAAAAGCTCTGATCTGGACTATCACATTAAGAAGGATGCTTTATACTGTGATGAAGCATACAATAACATTCTAATAGCTCATTAAGATAAAATTAAGAAGAATGGGATACACTTACACACAGCAAATAAAAAAAATTAAAATGAAGCAAAATACAAACCTTCAATTGTGTATGACTCAGCAATAATACGCAGTCTTCGGCTGGATAAATGTTTCTTTGTGTCTAAAGTAAACAATCTTTCTTTCTCTAAGTTGTATATTGGTTATAATACTAAATAGATAGCAAATATTTTCTAAAATCATCACTTTTATAAATACCAGTTTTTGGATTTGATGTTATCACAGACTGGTGTATGAGAAGATTTATACTTATTACAGACTGCCAATAAGAAAAAAATATGCAGTCCTTTACATTTTGTTAGAACATCTACACTAAGTGCAATATTGTCAAATTCAGCACAAATTTAACATTCTAAAGTATAAAATTAATTAAAAAACAATTGTTAAGTGAAATATATAAAACACCAAACTATAGTAGATATAAATCATTCCTTTATTCAAATAGCAAGCTGTTATATGTGATATCGGAAATAATAATGCACCAGTACATACTAGCAAGGTACTAAGTAATTTAAAAAACTTCTGATGCAAACCTTTAATTGCATATGATTCTGCAATTATGCGTAGACTTCTACAAGGTAATGGTTTTTCTGTAAGTGTGTGTAACTCAGCTTGTTGATAATGCTGAAGTGCCTCTTCATACATTCCCATTGCATAGTGCAATTTTCCAAGTAGTAAATGTGCATCTAATACAACCAAAGCCTATGGTTTGAAATACAATTGAATAATTTTTCACATGAAGTTTAAATGATTTAAGATTCTTATAACAAGATTATTATAATTACCTGTTTATCTTTTTCATTTGCTGCAAGAATTAAATACCTTCTAGTTTCTTGCAACCCATTTCTAGCTTTTACAATATTAGCATCAATAGGTGGTGTTTGTTCCAAAAAGCTTTCTAATCTTCCTTCACCACATAAAAAATTTGCTAAACATTCTAAAATCAAAAGTACTGATGATTGCAGTCATATATACTACATTTTGTTAATTATTTTTTAAATATTAAAAAGTATCAAATGTGTATTAATAATAAAATAACTTCACTGAAGTCACAAGTATTTACTTACTTTATGACTCATTGATAACATATTTATTTTTAAATAAATTGAACAATTCTGTGAGAAAGAAAATTGAATATTGAAATACATGTTTTATAGCAATTATATTTGGCCTTTACTCATATAATCCATGACATGACTTAACGATTTTTTTTTTTATACAACCAGGTTACGAAACTTGTAACGTAACAGTTGACTTTTACAAAACTTGACCAAATGTTTTTTCCAGAAAAGAAGGATTAAAATAAGTGTCATCAATTGAAATATTAAGAAAAAAAGAACATTTACCATTACTTGGGTACTGTACTTTCAGGTGTTCCGCCAATTCTATAACCTTTTTCCAATTTCCCTCCTCACGGTTTTTATCGATTTCTGATTCAATTCGAAGGGTGTGTCCTTTTTTACTTGTCATTCTAATTCATATAGGAAAAAGAATGAAACAAGCTATTAAATTCTTTCGTAATGTTCACCAAGATATAACGTAATATATCGATCATTAGTGTTGTTACGAACGTGAGCACAACGTAAAAGTACACGTATGACAATCTCCGCCTCGAGCACGTGCCAAACTATTTTGAACTGTCTCACGTCATTGATTCTGCGAAGTATAGATGCGATACATTATGAAACTACTGATTTAAATGCTAGTGAAACTGCGCACTCGTTCTAACGTTAATGCGCAGGTTTGGTGGTTTATATAAAAGTTTCACTTAATTTCTTAATAAAAATATTAAAAGATGTACAATTTAGACTTATTTATATAAATTTTTCATATCTTAAATCTACTTAAAAATAAACAGTAATAGTTACTGATTAACTATATTTATTAAAATCATTCAGTTTTACAATTACAGTAACAATAAAAATAAATTTTCTTTTATTCTCTTTGATATTATACATATTCATCTCTATATACACATATATGTATAATATCAAACACATACACAGTTTTTAATCTTTTGTACAATTTGTTGTTATCAGTCCCTGAAGATTGAAATTCATTTAGATCTTTGTTGGTAGCATTTTAAAGTTGTACGTTTAAATTATATTCTATTTTCTTCAAGAAATTTCTTATACCGTTTTTTCCACTTATCTTTGACATCTGTAATATTGTGCTGTAATTTATGAAGATAAATGTTTTAAATGTTCTTTACTTGATTTATGTAGGGTAATTATTTGTTACAATGTTACACGTGATTAAATAAATAAAAATTGCAACCTGCAATATATGGACCCCACGCTGTGTAAGGACAATAAGTTCCTTCATTCCATCATTGGTGATGTCCATATAGCATATGGAATGCACAGGAGCATCAAACAATTTTCTAATAATTAATTCCCATGTGTCATTTATGAAACAAAAAATTAAAACCTCTTGACCATAAGTTCCTAAAAGTATTTCATTTTGACCATCCATATTTATATCAGCAATACAGGAACATAAAATACAATCAGATGTTTCACTGCCATTTAACATTATATCTTCACCCATTCCGTTGTTGAGAATGTCCCTGGTTAATAAAATTATGTTATTGTTTCTGGTGGTACATAAAATAAAATTAATATACTTACATGAAGACAACTGCATTACTTGTATTTACAACAAGAACATTCAATTTTATTTCTTGATCATTTAGAGAACACTTTGAATCTGTAACATGAAAAAACATTTGTCAAGTTTTATTTATAGCCAAGCTACAGTTTCCTAAAGTATATTTTATTATTTACTTTTAGAATTAATAAAGGGAGGTGTTGGAATATTGTTGTGTAGTGAAAAAATGGATACACTGGAAATAGGTCTATCATATCTTAATTTCCAACTATAGCAGATTTTCAATTCTGAAATATTAGTTATAGCTACTTTGACTAAACCACATTCACAACCAATTACTGACAGCCTCCTAAATAAATTAAAATTTAATATAATTTTAACACAATTTCTTAAACGCAATGTAGTATATAAACACTTGAAATTATACCAATTGTAGTTATCATAATAGTAAATATTTATCCATATTGCAATTCCCTGGATATCATGTAATTCAGGGAAGTATTTTTCAATTGGTGATTCACTGTAACTATGGTTCAATTTATCTTCTTTGATCATATGTATTTTATAATCACTTCCAGATAGTAACCAAACAACCTGAAATCTTAGAAGAAGTTATAATTCTGCTGTGAGTTTACAGAATAATAAATTACCATTTTCTTGAATATTATTTCTTATATACTGCATTATCATAAGCAATATTGGGAAAATGGTTATTAATATAAAAAATTACCTCATTAGGAGAATTTTGTTGTGGTAGTATGGTATGATACAAATGATATGGTGTATATGCTAACTCCACCATAAGGCAATTTTGTGCTATAGCTTCGATTGAACTACCTTCATCTCCTTCACCATCTATAGCACCTTCTGTGTATATGTTTAAATACCTTTCTACAGATGTATCTGTACTTGCTTTTAAAATAGTTATTCCTATCACAAATCCATCACCACTATCTGATTTATTATAAGCATCGATAGATATAATTTCTGCACCACCTGATAAAAAATAACTTATTTAAATATAGAAAATTTTGGTTTTTGAATGATCTATCAGTTTAAGATTACAAACTGGGAATATATGTAAAAAGCAGTTCCTTAACCAATGGTCTCAAATGCAGATTTGGCATGAGGTGATATTCACAAGAATATATTTTTCGTTTCAAAGAAGCCACTAGTACTTTATTGGAACCATTGATAGAACATAATTTTGTCATGGAATAAATGTTTCCCTGGGATGTTAAAGGAAACCAATGTGCATCTGTCAAATTATTCATGATTTCCTCACAGTAAAACAAATATTTAGAAGCACATTAACTATTGATAGTATTTTACAACATAAGCGTTGTTTATGTTTGGATTATATCATATTTAAAGAAAATAAATGAAATGATATTAAATATTTGTTAAAAACCATTGAAAATATTCTTTTGATTAAACTGTACATTAAATGGCAGTGCTTTCATTTATATTTCATGTTAAATGTATTTTTTGACAGATTTAAATTCAATTGTGAGGTTAGAAACATAAGATTCATTCTATGCTCAAAATTGAAATCACAAAGTTGTTTTGAAATAAATTTTCATTATTTATCCAAAAATACAAACAAATAATATATTTAATAACGTTTCAAATAAACAATAGGTTAGATATAAGTACAAAGTAAGTTTCTATTGTGTATATATGTATATGTCTTCAGTCAATGTGTTCGTACTATTCCACTGTTTGACTAACTGAGAAGGAAACATTTTTTATCGTTCATATTTACACTACTAAGCTTTGAGGATATCAAATATTGTGTTCATAGAATTTTCTATATTTTATATTTTAGCTTATAAATGATTTACCAAATCAAAGTTTACGTTATTTATTGTTTTTATCAATTATCAGTATAACAGCGTTCTGCAATATCGACACTGTTCTCTCGATACATCATTCGTCACAATTCTTGAAATTATATTTATTTTCGTATTTTACACATAATTATGCAAAGATTGATAATTATTTTCAGTACATATTTTCAGTACAAAAATAGACTACTTATAAACGGTACCGTGCTTTTTCATTTAGTATAAAAACAGATCGATTTTCCAATATATACGTATAATTACTATAATTGGACTGCATTTTATAAATTATGAAATATATAAAATAAAGAACAGTATAAAATGACACTAATTTTAAATATTCATTCTAACAATTAATCCAATTTAAAATGGACACAGGCTGTGTGTTTTTCACAAAAAAGGCAGGTCTAAAATAACCCGAAATAGACACAGATTTATAACAGTAATAAACAACTCTAATAGAAAAGCTGTATGCTCAAATAACAATGCATAGTAAGATATGGGGGTACAATATGCTATGTACTTCAATCATCTGGCCTATTTAGAAACTTTCCAGATAATTGAAATATATAAGAATATAAAAAGCAACGTACATTCATTAGGATGTAAAGGTATGAGTTTCATATCAAAAATATATAAGGTAACATACAAAAATTACGTTCGTTAACTTTGCAAAACGTTATAGATACTCTCCTTTCAATGTTTTCGAATACCTCGTTAGATTTTTTATCAGTTAAGTTGCAAATATTTGATTTTCCGTCGTGTCAGGTTCATCTTTTTTTTTTTGCATCATATGGTATTTGCTCTGTCCATTGAGCGATGGTTTACCACAAATTAATAGCACACTGTACGTCAGTCATGACATTTTCCTTTACACTGAGGTGCCCGCGGAAATCCAATATCGAGATTAATCGTGTGCGATCGAGCAGGTTGACCTAAATACCGCGGTGTCATTCAGATCAGTATAGAGGCAAGTGTTACGTGAATATAAACAACATATATCAATCTAGTATTCACTTTTGTTCCAAAACTATTTCATACAATAATATAATTTCACGTGATCAATTCCGTCTGTCAACA